CCAAGCCAGACACACGCCGAGCCAAGACGAAAAAAAAAACGGGCCGCTCTTTCTTTCTGCTTTTCGTTGTTTCGCTGTTGCTTTCTTTGTTTCTATCTTTATTTCTGTCGTTCTTTCTTTCTTTCTGTCTTTCTGCCTTTTGTTCCTTTGTGTGCTGTGTTTTGCTTGTGTTTTGCTTATGCAGATGAATAGTTTTTTTTGATCTGTGAATAGTTTTTTTTGATCCCGGAAATAGTTCTTTTGATCCCTTCAATAGTTTTTGTTGACCCCTCTCCCCTTTTTGGACAAGGGGTCGGACCGTTGATGGCAGTAAGGCACGGCAGCACAGACTTTTCCCTGCATGTCCATGTCCTCAATCAACAACAGGTTCCACAAACTATGCAGAAACGCCGTGGTTGCTCCTGCTCATACACAACCTTTCGACGCATTTGCATAAGGCAATGACAAAGAGCTGGGCGAGATCACCGAGAATAACAATGTCTGCATCGAAGTATATCAGCCTACCCAGGGATGGCTCCCTCCGGTAAGAGCTGCTGCTGCAATGGGAATGACGAACAAACAATCATTTGGCTACTGCACCTCCTATCATCGCCGCCTGTCGTACGTGAAACCTGTGTATGTCCCAACTACCAGGCCCAAAGCCAAAAGCCTTGCCTCAACGGTTCAACATTCCGTTTTTGCCGCAAGCTCCGATTTACAAGTCGTGCTCTGTGGCCAGCTCTTGGACAAATTCACTTTGGAGGGCCTCGCTTTGCTGTTCTGCGGCAATCTCGGAATTGCAAGGTCCCGTTCCGAATAGCAAACTGTAGCGAAGAATTCTAAGTTACGGGGGCTCCTGGATTGGTCGGAATTTTCGAGGCCAGTTTTCCTTCTGGCCATGGTATTGTTTTGTGGCAAAGCTGTGGGGGTATGTGGTGGTAAGTTGGCAGGCTATGTAGCATTCTAACACACTAGGTCTTGAAAGGCCACCCGCTTGTAGGGCCCTGTTTTGCTGCAAAGTTTGGGGACCGCAAGCCTAAAGGAAGGGGGTGCTACTCATCCCCTCTTTCTCGGTCTCGCTCTCTCTCGACCAGGTAAGAGGAAGAGAGCAAGCGCTCCCCGCCCGCACGCGAACGCGGGCTCGCAGGCGAACCTGCATGTCCAGGCCGGGTTTTAAGAACTCCAACGTGGGGCTATGCCCCAAGTGACTTAGCGGTACTGAGGGTCGTCTTAAGGTTTACGGTGCATCCTCCCGGCACAGCTTCAAGCATAGATTCAGAATAATTCATATGTCCCCCATAGCATACAAAGCAAGATTTTCCTGGCGGGTGCACCTTTCCCCCCTGGGCAACCACATGCAACCACTGGCTCCAGAGGGACTCTTTCGACTGCGAAAGGAACATCAAAGTGAAAAGGGACATGACTGACACACTGGCAGTGGCAGCTGAGGGCCAGGAGCAACGAAAGTACCCAAGGTTAAGACCATGTGACACGTACAACTGCTTTCGCGCTTCATGTTGTGGTATGCCTTGGTGAGTTCACGACCCGTTTCAAGGGCTGAAGTCAAGTGAACCCCCCAGATCAAGAGGAAAAACTTGGTAACGACCGTCGCGCTATGAAGACACCTCTGTTGGGCATCTCCCCCCTGAAGCATGGTGATACATGGTGCCTGGCCTGATTTGACTAGGGCTCCGGCTTTGATATGCTTTGATTATTCGCTAGTGTGATCAGCGTCGTCTCTCTCTACCAGGACAGGACGCCCAGTCCTCCGTGTTTCGGAATGCCTTTCGGGGGCTTCGCCCCTTCGTTCAGGACACATAGCTGACACAGCTCTAGCATGCTCTAGCCGTCCTGTTCTGCAGGGCACTCTGAGGTTGCGACCAAACCAATTGAACCAACACAACATGATGAGTGCACATTCCCCCCTGTCATGCCCGTACAAGGTATGTCAATGTGTTTCACGGCCTTGCGAAGACTGTCCTGTGCTTACGTAGGACTGCCGAGCTTGTCCCCTGTGGAGGTGTGGCTTTGGGCACGGGTGACACTTCACACGAGGCTTCTGCATGATCCCCCCCATCAACTTCAAAGAAGTCGGCCTCCTAGACGTGGTCGCGAGATCCTCGTTTTTCCCCCGCTGTGCCGGGCCGATCGGTACCACGGCAAGGCTGCAGCCAACTCCTCACTGTCATCTGGGGGCACATGTCCCCCCCCCCACTGTATCTTGGCCAGGTTGCGTTTCTTTCTTTCGCCAGGGCCATGGCGAAGGGGTAGTCGCCCCTTTTTCGCTCTTGCGGGTGAGGCGAAAGGGGTTACCCCCTCACCCGCGTTTCAGCGCATCCCATATTGGTGAAATGTTGGCTATCTGCGGGAGTAACATAGTCGCGGCTGAGTCCTAACCAGGAGAGCGAACATTTATCTCTTGCTTGCCGCAAGCCGCGAGCATAGGCCGGGGCATCGCCGGGAGAACCCCCACTGTCGTCGCCAGCCAGTTTAGGGCTTGGGCTCGACCGCTCCCCTCCGTGCACTCAGCTGGCAACACCCATGCATCTTCCGGGGCCCGAGGCCGGCAGGTCTTCAGCCACTCTGCTACATCCGAGGAAGCTTAACTGAATCCACCTTGAAAAAACCGTGGCAAACCGCGCAAAAGTATGAACACCTGCCATGGTCCCCCAGAGCTCATATGTGTTGCAAGTGGGCTTCGGAGCTGGAGTGAAAAGCAATGCGGCCGAAAATGTAAACAAACAAGCTAGTACAGATAGTTTGATGCCCAAGCCTGACTTCCGGTGCTCTTCTTGGGGGCCCCACTCCCCAGGTTGCAGCGTGCTACTTCACCTACCCCGACCTCCAGCCGGAACTGAAGCCCTGCGAAGCACAGGCCGCTGGTCTTTTCCTTCCACCCCACCCTGAAGCCTCGCGCTTGAAAAAACTATCCAACATGATCCTTACCCGGTGCCCAGGTGGTCGCTCCTCCGGTTCTGGTACGAGTGCTCCGAGAAGGGTCGGGCGCTCATGTAGGTCCGGGACCTGTTCCCGCTGCCCAGGGCAGTCCGGATGCTCGGGTTTTGGTTCCATACCTCCGGGAACTCCCCCGCATCTGTTCCCGCAGCACGGGCCAACCAGTGCAGGACCCCACCGAGATCATTCATTATGCAGCGGGCGCATGAAGTGCCCCCAAGGTTCGAAGGGCCGCGCTTGCCTCTTCCAGCGCTGAAGAGCTTCTGGCCTGCTTGCGATCCCCCGTCAAGTCCGCGGTGTGTGCTTCCTGCGGCTGGGCGGCTAGGTTGCACACTGTTTGGGAGTTTAACACTATCTCGGTCAAACATAGCTTGGCTGCGACCTGGATTTCCTCAATCCAGAGTGTTGGGGCCAGCATGGGCCGTTGTCGTCCCGAAGCTCTTTTGTGATGCTGTGAGCGGGGTGTGGGTGTGGCTGCTGAAGCTTCTGCTTCGCTGCCAGAGATGAAGGTGCCTGTTGCTGGCTTGCGACTGGCCAGTTTTGTAGCCAGTGCCCCACAACCTCCCCCGCCGAGCCGACGAACATCGGGTCCAAGATCAGGGTAAGAAGTTTGCGCAAAAATAGCTCTCTGTCTCTCAGCCCGGCAGGTCGAAGCTGATTACGATACAGCCACCAGGCAAGTGCAGCGCGAGGATCTCGAAGGAAGGATCAGGAGTTTCAATACCTTGTGCTTGCAATCGGTTTGAGTATTCTTTGCCGAGGCATGTTCGCCGTCTTTCCAGCTGCCGAGTTCTGCCCTCTGACGACTTCGTACAGTGCCACGCCACGAGCCGCCACGTCACAACCCCGGTACACCATCTCGAGCTAAACACAGCTAGCAACATAGTTCAGTATTGGGCATGGGGTTGCACGGACATGTAAACGATGCTGCTTCTGCTCATTACCTGGTAGTCCGGAAGAGCTCCGAGATTGCGCCTCTCCGTTTGTGCGTGGAAGGTCTGGCTTGAAGCCAACCTCGCCAGCATCATCCGAACACAATGACACCGTCTTACTCTTCTTCTGCTAACTGGTCGAATCTGGCACACTCAGAAAGGGATGTCTGAGCTAAGCCCAAAGCAAAAAGTGCGGCAAGTAGAACCTCTGCAGTGTAAAAGAGAGCAGCGGATCTGGGGAACAGAACTGCTCTCAGGCTTGAGCGGTGCAAAGTTGAATGGACTTGCCAAGACCTTCCGACCTGAACCAGGACCACACCAGCGAACGGGTCAGGCCTGTTTTATGTAAATGCTGTCGCGATTGGTGGGCTGGCCTGCTCCCTTCCGAAACAAGATGCGGCTTTGGATAGCCAGCTGCAGCTCCTCATCAGCATGTACCTGCCAACTTGTGGTACTTACTAGAACAGCAGCCTCCTGTCCCAGGGATGCTGCCTCTACGCGTATGCCGGGAAGCTGCAGCTTCGCCACGTTGAGGAAGCGACTTAGCAGCAGCGCGAAGCGGACGCATCGACATGAACAGCTCAAGATGCCACTATGCCAGGGACGTTGACAGCTCTTGCGTTGTGACAAAGTGAAACCTTGGGAGCGGCGCTAAGCATCACAGGCTGTTTAAGCAAGCGCTACTGCCACAACTTGCGGTTGACGAATGTACGTTCGGGGGACACAAACCGATGCGACTGCGGCGATGATGACACTGCCGACCGAATGGCCACCACAGCGGGGCCTCAGCTTTGCCGATGCCATGCGATGCCTTTCGACATGACAATGGCGAGGTGGAAGCGAAAGTCTGGATCATCGCTGCAAATGCAAAGATGCACAGTCCTGAAGGGATGTCCCCAAAGTTGAACCACAACAGTCAATAGATCACTACCTCACATACACAAAGGCCTGGAGCGCGACACATCCGACAACTCCTTTCGTAACAGTCACAAGCATCTGCCAGGAAATGCTGTCCACAGCCGGCCTCGACAGGAGCTTGAGCAGGACCGCGATCACCAGCACAGCCTGCGCCGAGCCTCCAATTTCTGAGGTAAGGCTCCCCTTGTGCCTCTTGCGGAACAGGAACTGTAAGGTGCGCTCGTTCTAATCTGTGTTGACGTGAGCCAGACCTTAGGATTATGATTTTGTTGGGAAGACTGGCGCAAGATACAAAGCTGTCTAAGGGCCAGACGGAACCAAGGATGAGAAAACCGAGCCCCTGGATGCCAGATCATGCGTTTCGGCTATTCGGTGCAGTGCCACTCTTTGCGCTGCGTCTTAATTGCATGGTTGCAAGGCGGGTGGCCAGAGTGAGCCATTGTGATCGCATCGGCTCATGTGCCCGCCAAAGTTCTCATGACGTTGAATGCTGTCACTGTTTCTACTTTCAGCCCCGGCATATCTGCCACAGGTCCAGAGAAACTTAAAATGCAGTCATATTGGGTCTTTGCTTGTGTTGCGCTAGCTACGTCAGAACTCTCCTGGTTGCTTGCAGCTCGGTAGGTCACTTTATCTTTCAGAGTTTTGTAGTGCTACAGCATCCACTACAAAGCCGCTGCAAGCCTAGGGTGATGCCACTCTTTCTTACCTTCACACTTGGGTGTTGCACCTTGATGTGTTCTGGGCCAGGCTTAAAACAGCTCTGCTGCGCGGTGCCGATCCATGATCGCTGGAACGAGAATCCACTGCTAGCATGGTCATGGATGTTCGCTTCAGTCACTGGACGCTTTTCACCGCCGCATTGCGCCATCTGAGTGCCTTCGCCGACTGCCTTATCAACGCAAATGCACAGTGCGGGTTCTGACCGTGTTGTTCTCCTCGAAACAAACTTCTGGGCTTGCGACGATCGCGACTGTCTCTCCGTCGTGCATCGTGTCCTTTTGCCTCACCTATAGGTCGGCGTGACACTTCTGCACTCAGCATTGCACCTGTAGCCCAACCTGAATGCTTCTCAATCTCTCTTTTTTGTTTTCTCTCTCTCTGTCTCTCTCGAAATCTCTGGAGTCAAACCATTTAGACTTGCTGCTACAGGGATCATCGAAAATCATTGCAGCGGGGTCGCGAATCTCACGGCAACTACGAGAGCTCGCGCTCTCACTGCTACCTCAGCTGTGGGTCAAGTTGTGTGATGTCTGTCGTTCTGGAGTACTGTCAGATACAACCTCCATTGGCGCACGAAGTGCTGCAGTACATCCCCAACTAACAAGAGTCCATGATCCCTCCGGGTCCCTCCGGGACCATCTGAGCCATTCTATAGCTTTCTAGATATTTCCAGATTAAACTCCCTTTCCAATTGCCTCGTGGCGCGAAGCCAAACTTCTCTGCCCCTCGGATTCCGGCTGTGGCTGTGGCTGCGTCCACGCCTGACAATGGAATCGTCTACAGTGCGTTTGGCACATGCAGGATCCGTGACGCCTCTTGCCTAGCAGCAAACCAGAAGCAATCCGGGAGCTCAAGATGAGCTCTCTGGACCCTCCTTTTCTGCTCCAAAATCGACAGGTTATGTTCCGCCATTGCATGATCTCCCGGCAGCAGTCTGTACAGATGACGGCTCAGTCTTCAATATAATTCAAGAGATCTCGGAGCGTTACCCAGGTGCTCTGGTAAGAACACCGACTGGTGGCTCATGGTGACTCCCGATAGACAAGACTTGCTGGATAAGTGAAACTGATGCAGAAGCGACAGGGCTGAACCGAATGCCACTGAATCCCAAAAAGATTCTTAACCCTGGAATTCCGTAGGTGCACCTGGGTGAAGCACCAGAAAGAACTACCGGGATCGCTCTGCGGGAAGTTTGCAAAACAAGTCATGGACTCCGCATAGATTTCCGCATGCCGGCCCCCTTCCCACTGGCACGTAACCCACATGTTGCACCCAGCGGGTTAAGTCTAGAGTCTAGACGTGCTTCGTGTATCTGGGAGCAACCGTGCGAGCTCGTGCAAATCCGTGCACCTGACAAACTTTCGCAAGATTGCAAGGCTCCCTGCAAGGTGCGGGCATGTGCGGGCTAGCCATGGCTAGCCGCTAGCCGCTCCAAATCTCAGGAAGATCTCTCAGAATTTCTCAGAGCCATGGCGTGGCAACTGGCCCCCAGAAAAGCTCTGGCCAAGAGCTAAGAGGCAAAGCACGGCACATCTTCCCTCTTCAGAAAGACTTCGAAGTGTCCCGGCTTCACATCGCATGTGGACATTTCTAAGACCAGATAGGCTGCGCAGCACTGTCGTTGCTGCAGAACGCCGGTACCTGCCCAGAAGGTTAGACCCTACAAGGTCAAACGCAACTTTGCACCAATAGCCCGACCCTCGCTTCTTCAGGCCGCACCTCTCCCAAATGTGCTGGTTTCACTGACTGATGACATCGAGGCCCGAAGCAGTCGCCAGCAACTGGCCACGCATGCGCCTGGCTTGTGGAGTTCTGCCACACAACAGAAGTCGATGCAGATTTCAAGTATGGAATCTACACACTAATTCAACGGCCTCCATCTTGGGAATGCGTTGTGCAGGCAACCTCACGTAAGACCAGACCGAGTGACCCTCCAAACGCCGAGCACAGCACATGTGCTGGGAATCTGACGCCAGAGATTCCCTGTAATGGTAGCGAGCAGAAGTGAGAAGCCTGCACCCGTGACGACCTGGCTGTCAGCAAAGCTACATCGTCTGGCAGCTTTTCTGCTGCGCGACTTGGCAGGCCTCTCGCCCGCCGACGCTTGCTACATTGAGGTGGTGGGCCTCCACGTGGATTTTCAGAGACAGCCTTGGCAACTGCACTCTCTGGCACAAGCTAGACATGAAATGCCGGAAGCGGAGTCAGGTTCCGAGACAGCAGCAGATTGCAATCGCTCTTCCATAGTTGATAGCTTTTGAGCCGCCGTTTGGTGATTGTCCACGAGTTGCTGCAATGTGTAGCGCACGAAGCGGGTAGCCGTCTTCGATTCGAAAGCCCACCGGGACAGAGTGACCTTAAACTCATCAGGGTCGATGGTGCCCCCGCCGTCGTGGTCCAACATCCCGAACAGCTGCTCCAAGTCAGCCTTGCATCCACCGCCCTAACATATGGTGCTGCGCTCACACTTCATGTTCAAGCATTCGGATCATGGTCGTTTATTCCCACCGGCCCTACCAAACCAAGTGCTGATTCCAGGGGAACAGGCCTGATCTATGTCCATGACTCGAAGTCGGTTTTGGAACTCTCGCACTCTTCTAGCTCCGTCTACAAGCTCTTGAAGAGTCAACTCGCCATCACCTCAGGTGCGGCAGATGGTTTCACATCATGCAGAGAACAAGAATGCTTTTGAAGGGGCAAAGCTGGTGCCTTCAAGGCCTAGCTCATGCCAAGATTCCGTCACCGTCGATCTCGGCAAACATCTTGTCTAGTGTCCTCAAATCTTCTTCTTCGTTCTCCTCCATCTCCTGCGATGGATGCACAGTGATGCAACCGAACGTGTCAATTGATAGGTGTTTTTATCGTTCTTCTGTGCCACACTTGACTGCGACCAATCATGCCACGACACGATTGCCATGTTCGTCACATCCTTCGTGCGTTGCTCGGCGAATGTGTCCACCACCACAGCAACCACCAGATTCAGGACACCAAAGACAATGGTCAGGTGCGAACCTGATTTCTTCAAAATTCATGGGAATCTGACCCTCGCATGCCACATGTCTGGTTTTAGGGAGTGTTGGGGCTGGCAACAAACAAAGGACAATCATGTTTCCTGTGCACCTGCATCTACTGAACTCTAAATGAGAACTTGCAGCACAGCACAATACATGATTGGAATGCAAAGAATGCACGGGATGAGGGTTGCTACTGCGAGCTATCCCTTCATGCTTCTGCCTCTCCAAAAGTGGCACACCTTCTCTCGTTGCAGGTGTGCAGACATGGCCATGAGGATTCAAATTTTAGTATTCGTGTTCGAAGCGGCGAAACCTTGGGGCTGTCTCGTTTGTCATCAGACACCAATTTCTCCAGAACTAGCGTATGACAAGTACGAGCCGAGTACGGGAAAAGGGCCTCCTCCGCCAGTGGGCCCCCCCATACATACCAAGCCAAGGAGTCTGAATCTCTTCATCAACTCCGCGTCCGCAGAAACCTAGTACTTTGCCTTGCCTGCAAACCACTAGCTATTGCTGCGAAAATCTATCAAGCAACACGTCTGAACTGCAGTACGGAAGCCCATGAAAATGACAATAGCCAGGGGAAACTCCTGTATCACCGGTACCGCCACTTCACCCCAGCTGTCTCCGGCGATAACTGTCTTGAAAATCAAGAGGTTGGCGTTCATAACCTGTCTATGCATGGTATTTGCAGCAAAGCATGCCGTGATCAGCTGCGCCATGTCTCTGCCACACGCACACCATGCATGTCTTGGCACAGAGTTCAAAGAGTTCGAACAGAAGTCGCCACATTCCTGCCAATGATCCTTGGCGAATGGCAGTGACACTAGCTGCTGAAAATCAGTGGTTCATGCAAGTGACCTCCACCAAAGAAGGTATAACGGGCTGCAGCATCTCCACAGCCAGCATGGCCCAGGAAGTCATCACAATAAAACCTCGCTACAGACATGCACTCGCTCGCAGGATCTTTGCGACCCTTTCATTTCATACTGCTTCATAGCTGTCTTCGCGGGCCACGAAGCAGAACAGGAAACTCCAGCAAAGCGTCTTGAAACAGGATGCTGTCATCGAGATAAGCCTTGCCGACACTCACTGTCGCGCGGACCACTTCAAAAGCAACTGCGTGCCGAGAGGGTGTACCCAATCGTCAAATCGACACATCTGCTTCACGTAGGATAGCATGTAGCTCGCTGCACACTTCTGACTCCGCCAGGCCACTTGCGAAGCTCTTTGAGCATGCTAAACTTGCGGAAGAGACGGAAGAGCCTCGTCAAGACAGGAAAGCTGCACCAAGCTTGCTTTGGCCAAGGCACGGAATCACACGTCTTGCGCACCTCATGATGCGGACCACGCGCAGCGGTCGCAGCACTGCCACGCCTGCACTACCGGAAACCCCCAAAGGCGTCGGTTTGCCTAAGTCCTGCGCAGCTCTAATTTTTCACCGCAAAAACCGGTACTGACTGCAGCCGAAACTGCTGTCTAAGGACAGGCCGACAAACTTAAGTGTCAGCTGCAGAACTCCGGATCCAACAATGATGATGTCCAGAAGTGTCCAGGGTTCCTTTGAGAACACGTGGCAGGATCCAGGAAGGAACTAGCAGATGATCCGTGCAATCAGCGCCGACGGGTAGCTTTTAGAACTGCACATCGGCGCACCACAAAGACGGCCCCAAGCTCCAAAGCCTTGCAGCAAGATTCAGCAAGCCTAAGCCTCCCTTGCTCTTTCGCTCTGTTCGTTTAAAGCGAGTCACGTATATGCAGAGGCAAAGGCCGGAGCCGACCTCTAACCACACCGGCGCGACACCTCCCACTGCCCTTAAGTCAATGTCAAGGCAGGTGAAGGCCACGTCGATAATAATCGTGACGCCTGGCACGACTCTTCGTGAGACACAAAGCTCACACCGCCTGGGCCTATAGAGTGTAAGCTATTGCTTTCCACCGGGCCAAGACACCTGTGAAGAGATCCCAATACGTGGACTTGAGCATTCTCCGCAGTTGTAGCTGCCACGGCGATGGCATCTTGTTCCCACTGCTGAGAGTCCTGTCGACGGCTTTATTCGCCGGCAAATCCTACACACCCTAAACCTAGTCCGAAACTGACTACGGGAGATGCAGTAGCCTAAGTCCTGGAATATTGCATTTTGAGAAACCTGGAACTTGGCGTCAGTGCCTTGGCTCACCACATCGTTTAACTCAAGTTGCCGTTGCATTGCCACCATGTCTAGCTGTAAGTCAGTGTGTGTTTGCTTGCGCTGTCATGTGTTGGTCTCTCTGTCACGCAGTCAATGTATTCTCTCTCGTGTCCATGCATAAGGCTGAAAAGCTACTTGACTGTGGGTTCTGACTTTACCACGTTGTAAAAACTGATTGACCTAAAGCTTTGGAGGTGGGACCGCTTGATGGTGGTCTCGCTGAGCAAAAACATCCAGCAACTCCGTGCTACGAGTTAACGGGGCAGATGCCCGAACAACAGGCTGGATCGATATTTGTCAGCTGTCCCGTACCCTTGCCGCGTTCGGTGCGTGGCAGTGGTTGTGCAATAGGATGACAAGCCCGGGAGCACGGTGGACAAAGAGAAAACTTGTAACCACTGATGGACAACTGATGGACATGTTGTCATGGGCTATCGGCGATCCTCAATCTTGCTGGTTTTCGCTGGGTGCACGACGTGCAACCAAGCAGTTCGGTCTAATTGAACTAGGACGTTTGAACGACAGCACATCGAATGTGGCCGAGGGCCCCAGCCGTCTATCCGGTCTTAGCATTCATGCTCGCTCATGAAGGCGTGTTCATTTCTCCTCCGGAGAATCTCGGCATTGTTTACCGAGTGCAACAACCAAAATGGCCTTATGACACCTCCGCCACCACTGCCGGCCATCAGCGAAGACTAGCCTGCTAGGCTTTGCGAATGCGCTGGTCCGGAGAAAGAAAAAAACTGCAACGCCTACGCCGCGATGATATTCGCCTTGTTGTCCTTGCTGAACGTCGGGAGGATGGATGCGGCTGTTAGTCACTGTTAGTCTCTTGCAAGTAGTAAGCCGGGTGTTCTGGTGGCCGAGCCGCATCCGCCACTGCAAATCACCGAGAGGTTAAGAGATGAGGCGCAGGTAGGCTGTGCAGGTCAGAAGCCGGCGGTGCTCGACTAGGCGTCCGGCCTGGTTCAGCTGATGCGACAGGTCAGGCTTGCAGTCATCATCGTGACGTGGCGGTGGTGTGCCTAGCTCATCCAGCGGAGCTCGACTTCCCGCGTGGATCAGCAGAGAGGTCCAGCTATTCTATCGGCAGCCTCCGTGCGCCTGTCCCGTTCGCCTGCGGCGTGGCCTAGGACCTAGGACCTGACCTGAGCTCCTTGTGGGAAGTCGAGCCCTGCTTGGTCGCATGCATCGCCCTGCTTCGTCACGGGCTTTGGAAGGACGAAGCCGAAAGCTCGCCGGCGGCTGCTCCGGAGCCCGCACGCGGAAAGCAACGAGAACACATACACACACACAGAGAGAGACACACACACACACACACACCAAACCTCAGACCCGGAGCAGCCTCATGCACAAATCTGCAGAGCAGTCGAGTGGTCTCAGGCCACTCCGCTGTGCTTGCTCGGAAGCCAAGGACGCCGCCATGAACGAACAAGCTCAGGAAACATTTCGTCAAGCAAAGGTGCGTCTTTCGGGCGGCAACTCGGCAAGTTGTTCCATCAAATCTGCACAGCGACGTTAAACATTCATGCTCGCTCAACAGCCCAACGCAACACCCGAGACGTTCGCTCCAACTGCCACAAAACCAAACACGCGCAGGATCTGTAGCAACCAGCCACTTCGTAGCCGCTGCATTGGCATGGTCCTTTCAGCCGATCTCGTTCACAGGTCACCAGTTCTCGCACCGTGCCCTCATCGCAAGTTTCAGATGTTCAGCTGCCAAGTTCAAGCAAAATCAAGCAAATTGATGTGCCAATGGTGTGGAAGGCCGGTGAAGTGATGGCTCGCCCGGCCCGCGGGAACCCAGTCTCAACTTGCAAGACTTCCATGAAGTCCTTGATGTTCTGAAGCTTGACATCCGCAGTGCAATGAGTTGAGTAGATATAGTGGATGCAGGGCATCGCGACATTCGACGTGCGAAATCAAATCACTGAGAGTGGCCTGCAGGAATGCCTGCTGCACTTCACAACTGGTTCTAAAGAAGCACCGGTTGAACCGCCGACGCATTGACCTCTGCAAGATCTACATTTGGAATGCAGGCACATCCGCATCGGCCGTTTCGAAGAGCATCAGGAAGGGGCGCCAAACAAAGTAAGCTGGTGGCCGGTAGGTGCGAGATGGCAGTGTATAGGCATTCAGATTGGATAGCCGATCAATACCATTGATTCGGCTCTGTCTGGCCAGCGCAGAGAAGGTACCGCTCACTCAGATGGACTTCATACTATCATGCTTCTCCTTTGTCTGCGAACGAAAAAGTAACGGACCACAGAGCCAATCAGGCCTCTACGTGAGCACCCAGAGGAGATCACTCCCAGCCCAACAAGGAACTGCGAAGTAATTAATTGACCATCTACTTCTCGAGTCAATCACGCCCCCGGATCGCCAAAGGACTGATGCTCTCAAAGACGAAGGATGGTGTTAAGTGACGATTCATTTGGGAAGCACCTCCCTGATGGCAAATCGTGCTTTTCTCAGCCATCCAGGCAGTCCAAAAATCACTGCAATGGCAGTACACATGATTTGACCACATGCACCTTCAGCACATCGAAACAACAAAGCGGCGCATCAAACATCGTTCACGACGCAAGGCACTGTACGGAAAGAAAGCCTCGACACTAATTAAGGTTGCTACAAGCAGAAATCTTCTCTGACAAGCTCGGGCTTGGCAACCTGCGACCTGCTTCTGCAATCCTCGTGCATACGGATGCAGAAATATGGCTCTGCAGAGGGCCAGGCCTTGAGTTGTGAACAAGTTCACAACAGCACAAGAGCCCGGGCAGGTCTTGGAATGTTCCTGCGAAGCCTTCCTCCTAGCCGTCCTGGCCCGGCACTCTTCCGCTGGGATCAACTGCGCGGCAGCACAGAAACGAGTCGAGCTTTTATCGAGGCTGCCTTGCATGTAATCGAAAATCAAGCTCTGTCATCCCGAGCATCTCATTAGCACAAGCGTTGCTCAAGTGCTTGTGCGGCTTTATGCTTGCAGGCTGCCTTGGATGATGGAGTCGGGGACGGTTGCTTGCCATCCCAACTTTCACCTGCATGAGCTCGGCACGAAACCCTCGTCACCCGGTGCAGCACAAGTCAAACATGTAAGTCTGCACAATGCACAAGACCACGTGAAAGGCACGTGCAAGGACGTGCGCGACCTCTCCTGCCACGAACATGAGCACTGACATCTGTTCCAATCCTCCCTCCCCGGTGAGTGTGTTCGGGTTTGGGTTTGGACAGCTTGGACCTGTTCCATCCTCCATCCTCTCGGCGATTTTTGGTTGTGGTCTGGCTTTGACGAGAATGACGACAGCCACAAGCAGCACAAGCAGCACGACACCAAGCCAGGCCATCCCTGCGCAGGTTGGATAATACATATAATACTTTTTCGCGGTGTCGCAGTGATGTGAACACCCCGAAGACCAAACAAACCACCACACGGATTCCGTCACACTTGCCTGGCCCTCCCACCCCCGTCACCATGTGGGCCGGGGCTGGGGGGAACGCCGCACATCTCGCAACAAAAATCTACTTTCCACCTGAAACACGAAGAGATAAACGAATGAGTGAATATGCCAAGACGGCGTGTGCGTGCACGACAGTGGAACTCGCCCTGAGCCCACCGACACGCTTTGATCAGAATACCTCCACGACCAGTCTACCGCCACCAATCGTCCCTCCACTTGTGTTTGAGTTGAGATTCGCCTAAGCAGAGCAGGCATCGCCTCCTGCAGCCTCATCGTTGCTCGTGGCTTCATGTGCCTGGCCGCCACTTCGAAGTGGAGACCCCCGGCAAATGCTTGTGTCACTCGCGCCTCAGCAGGGACTGCGCCCGAAGTGCTTTGGCCTGTCAACCTGGTGCCAGGACGGTCTGGGCTTGGGCTCTGCGGGATGCCAGCGGTATGCGTAAACATCCGCACCTCAACTGTGCGGGTTCGCGAGACATCTGGGGCCCTTAACTGCACAGGCTGGCAAAAAAGTTTCTTTTGAGATCACAGCACTGAACATGACACAACGTGATCTTCATGGCCTCGTCGTCAGCGTTGTTCATGCCACGTTTTCATGAGCGACCACGTGAAACATCGCAAACTCTCGACCTCCCTTGAGGAGGCTTGAGCTGACGCGGCCGCACAATGAAGTCCGATCGAAAAGCGTTGCACGGAAACCAGAACTCCAGTGGGAGAAGACGGGATGGGGCAAGGGTCGGGCGTAGTGCTGGCCTGCCGCGCCCCCGCTGCCTTGGCATCTGGCATTCTGTCATAAATAATTCAAATCTCAAATCCCGAACCCGAGGATGGCACTGCTCCAAATATATATCCCGACTGGTACCTGTCTCCCGGCATTTAGCGTGTGCATGTCGGCTTCCAGGGCAGAAACCAAGCAGGCAGCACGCGCGCCCGACTTCAAACCCGGCGGCTCCTTCTTTCGGCCTCGCCACCTTGACACCCAGCGAAGCAGGAATGAAAACCTGAACCATGGACATTCGCTCTTGGTGGTGAACTGCGCACGTATTGCGACCTGACAGAATGAAGACAGAGACCGTTCACATCTTTTCACGGGGCTCGACAGTCCGAGGCCATGGCACCGTCGATAAGCACTTCGCCCCTTGCCTCAACACGGCAGGCATGAGGCTAAGGCAGACCGCAGGCATGGTTTTTCTGTGCTGCGCTCGGATGGCGGGGCATTCTAGACAGAGGGACAGGATACCAACACCAACTGAAACTCAAGAGCATGGGAAAGTCCCAAGTACATAGTGAGAGATCTGAGAGAGATGTTTTCTGGCGATCGAAATGTTGAGGGAAGTTTCGTGGAGGTTTGTAGTGGCAAGCAGGGCCTCCGTCTCAAAAGCTCAATCAAACGCAACAGACACAGCACACAACCGAATAACATCGAGAGAAGAACACGTGCGACTACTCGGTGCTTGTGTGTTTGGTGTTTACCCACGAGCTTCTGGGCTTGCATTCTTAGACCCCCGTGCGTGGCTCAGTGGTAGTAGTGGTAGTAGCAGTAGCAGCAGTAGCAGTAGTAGTAGTAGTAGTAGCAGCAGCAGCAGTAGTAGCAGTAGTAGCAGTAGCAGCAGAAGTAGCAGCAGCAGCAGCAGCAGCAGCAGCAGCAGCAGTAGCAGTAGCAGTAGTAGTAGTAGTAGTAGTAGTAGTAGTAGTAGTGGTAGCAGTAGTAGCAGTCGCAGTAGTAGTAGTAGTAGTAGTAGTAGTAGTAGTAGTGGTAGTAGTAGTAGTAGTAGGCATTCCGGCTCAGCTGTGCCACCAGCGGGACCCTTTTTCTCCTGAGTAGCTTTGCGTAGATGCCATGGAATGCAGACCCCCGTCACTCAGTTTTCAGGGGTATTCCGCTACGATTCTACTCTTGTGTGCACTGTTGGCGGCCTGCGTAACACCAAGCCGCGGGATCTCCGCAAGGAATCCCCAGGCCCTTGGTGAGCCTAGTGGCGCCGTTGACGGCCCCCTACTGTGTGATGCCTAGTGCGCCTTTGTGGCCACTGTGCTCATGCTTCTGCCAACAAGCCGTGTTAGCACGCGATGCACTTGCGTCGTTTGATGCCTTTGAAAATTTGGGAATATTTGACTTTTAATTGTACATCTGGTATCCACTGTTCGCATACCTAGTCAGTAAGAGTGAGAACGCTGGGTCTTGCGACTGCGTTGAGTAGGCCTCGAGTTTGCATCTATTCGTAGTGGAACTCGACCTTGCGGTCAGCATATGCACTGCCGATAGTCGGAACGCCAAGCTGAGCGACAGGCTGCGATTGGAATGAATGAAATAGTAGTAGTAGTAGTAGTAGTAGTAGTAGTAGTCGTAGCGGTAGTAGTAGTAGTAGTAGTAGTAGTAGTAGTGGTAGTAGTAGTAGTAGTAGTAGTAGTAGTAGTAGTAGTAGTAGTAGTGGTAGTAGTGGTAGACAGATTACGATTGCCGTGACCTGATGGGGCAAGCCCAGAAGCCAAAACAAGCCAGAATGCCACAAAGCCGGCCCAGAAGCCAAGAAACCAGAAACCCAGAAAGCCACAAAGCCGGAGAAGGCAGAAAGCCAGAAGCAAGAAAGAAGGGGCCGAAAAGCCAAAACACGGCTCCGAAACCAAGAAGCCAGAAGCCTTTGTTTAACTCGGCTCTTCTTCGTTGAAGTAATCCCTTGCTGAAAGAACTGATCTCGATTTATTGCTTGATCCTTGTTGGACGTAGTATTTGCTGATCCCTCAATTCATTCATCCCTACCTCCAAAACTCGATCATTTCAGGGAGAAGCCGAAGCTCTCTGCGCGGACAGGAGTGTGTTGTTAAGAAGTCGAGGCTGCTGCAATGGCATCCAGTGCCGACTGCGCTGCTGAGGAATCACCTTGCGAGCTTTGCTTGGCAAGCAGGTACAAGCTGCTCTGCACAGGAATGGCACGGAATCGGACCCACGGGGTGTCCTCACATCAAAAAGCGGAATCTGGAGAAGTTGGAATGTAAACTCATTCATGGCCCGAGGTGGGCATTCCTTTTCATGAAGCCGGCCCACATTTTTGGAATGTCCTCTCGCGGGTCCCCTATCTTGTGACAGATGTCGATCGCTCCGAAGCGTTCCAACCTGGAGCACAGCGTCTCCACTGTTCCCGTCTCCCAGGTAACATGTCTGTGACTTCCGCAGCTTCTGGCTGGGTCTTCAAGGACAGCCGAGTCGTGCCAGAGTGGACACCATCCTCACGACAGTGGTAAAGCGACTTCAGATCTTGTACCCAGAATTCAGTTTGGGTATTGGCAGACTGGGCAGGCAGCTATGATTTCGATTGTGTCCCGCGCGGCCTTTGGACAGCGGGTTGTCTGGTGAAAACGTCACCGCTGTGGTCATCTGCATGTCCATGTAAGGATTCCACCATCTCGGAGACATTCCCGGCAGCCCTGAATCCGATGCCGCGAAGATGAATCGCGAGACGAACAGCACTCAAAGAGTCGCTTGCCATGAGGTCCAGACGAGGTTTCCGTCAGTCACACGGCTTTCGAACTTGGATTAAACCTATACGCTCGGGTATCACGGCATCGGAAGAAGGTGAGGTACGGTGCCAACGTGTGTAGTTATGGCAGGTGTTCCAGTCCGGATCCTTGGCTCCGAAGTGCTCCACCGCTCAAACGAAAGGAAACTGCGACGAAATTCACGAAGAAGCCGATGGGCCAATCCCCTTGCGATCCACGATTATACAGACTTTCTGATGACTAGGCTTGCTGCATGATACCGGCACGAAAGGCAGCCAGGCCGGAAGGCTCTGAGAAGATGTGGCGTTTTGGACTTTTGCCATCCCTTACCCAACAGCAGCATCAGGAAAGACACATTGCAATTGATGTTTCCGCATTTTGCAAGAGCGAAACATATAACAGCCCAGAAGATGCCAAGGGGACTGCTGCCAAGCATCTTGATCTGGTCGCTGGGCTTTTAAGAAAAACCCTGAACCCAAATGCCAAGCAACAAGCTTCTCAGCTGTCTTGGTTCTGTAGGCATAATTTCAGGAGTACGGCCAGATTGTCTTGGACACAACTCTACAGAATGTACCACCTGCAAGTGTGATGCCAGAAGAAGCTGACCTAGCCATAACCGGCCGTGCCATGCGAAGCCGTTTTCAATTGAAGCAACCGCTCGACTGGGAGATGGTTCACGCCGTTCGGCGGGTGACACAATAAAACCTGCCGCGGTAGCCAGCTAAGCAGCTAAGGCTGTTCGACAGGAGGCAGCAGTCAGCTTGACTGTCGGCGCGGCGGAAGCGCTTCCGTTCGATGAACAAAGCCATCGCCGAAACTTCATCTTCGCTTCCAAGGCAGTGCACGTAGCCTCAGACTGACAACCTAAACTCCTCCATATCAGAAACAAGACTAATTTTTGAGGGCCCAGCGCAAGTGCGAAGCAAAGCTGGGAAACAAACTTCGCGGCCAGCAGCGGCCTGAGAAAGGGACGGGGGAGCAAAGATGTACCAAGGCCTGAAAGCCGACGGTTTTCCAGACCTTGAACCTGAAATCAACATCAACAAACAAACCTTGAACACCATGTCATCTACCGGTTTTCGACAAGCTATTCACGAATTCCAGTTTGGAAGGTCGTGTTAAGTGGAAAACCCGTTTGCAGGATCAGACGTTCCAGAGACCTATACACTTTTCGGCGTCCCGTCTCGCGGCAAGCTAAGCGTTTGCCGGTCGTGTAGGTGCGGACCGGACCGCAAGAAGCTACCGGGGACTTCCCTTCTCGGAAAGCGGCCGGGGCATTCCTATCTGCAGACCGTATCACTGCTGGTTTCTTCAGGGCTTTGACGGTTTCATTCCTCCTACCTTGCCCTCGCGCTTCTTGTACCCTGCAAAAGTTCAGCCATGCGCGCCTTTTGCAAAGCTGCTGCTGGAAGGGCAGCACGGAGTTCCCGCCAGTGCACGAAATACGCGAGAGCGGATGTCCAAACAAACGCTATCTGTAGGCATAAGTTTTAAATCTAGAAGCAAGGCGAACTCTCTTCACTTTCTTGTCCTGTGTCGCTATACATAGGACCGTAGCTCGACTCGAACTAGCACTGGTAAAGGTTAAAGCATTGCTATTAATATTAATGTTTGATGGTTGAGTTATTTCCTGCACTGCTTCCATTCGGTTTCAGCTGGCTGGCGAAACTTAAAACGCTGTATATTGTATACTGCCGAACCTCACGCTGCAAACAATGTCAACAATGATAACGACAAGGAACAGCTGCAGCAGCACAATTGCAATTGCCCTTTTCTGTATACGGTTTTAACGACGTCTTGAATGCGACTTAAGATTTCGTTGGTTGGGCTTTGCTTGGTGATATAATGTAACAAAATCATGTGTTTCTTGGTGCGCATCCAGACCTGGCCTGGTTTTGGCCGCTCGCTTCAGGTGTTTCAGCATTATCCGCTTGAGCAACCGCTGAGGAGACCTTGACAGAATTTCAGAAATGTGCTGCTGAGAACATGACATCAGGCATGCTCAGAAATGCCTGCGACGGCCAGACCTTGTCCCACCAGAGAAAAGGACCTGACACGGCTCAGGATTACGGGTTCACGTGAGGTCCAGGTCCTCGATTGACAGCGAGTGTTTGAAAGTTTGGGGTAGTAATGAGAATTCTGCTATCTCGGCATGAGTTACATGCCTCTGGGCTCGCAACTCTCGCACCGTTTGAGCGCAAAGCTAGAACGAATGCTCTGAGTTGCACGAGCCGCGGACTTTTGCTGCAACACATCTGAGCGGAGCTGTGGCCGGTGCCGTCAAGTCCTCTGAACATGTCCCCTTTACAGAGCAGCTCTTGCAGCACGCCCTCCACCACAATCCACCACAAAGAGGCATGTCCTCGATGAGGATGACACTATCCAGCGCTGCCTGTCTACAGTCCACGGCTACGGAATATGACAGCCGAAAAGAGCTGAACTTGCATATCTGAAATCAACACTAGCACATCTAATGCAAGTCGCGGCTGGATGTACCAGTTTTGCGCGCTGCGCAGTCGCGCATTGCAGGCTGTTGAAGGCGAGCCGGGGTCGAGCAATGGCGCAACGACAACACCGCTTAACGTTGCACAGGTGCACGGCACAGGCTGCAAGCGCCCTGTTGTGTGTCGGCTTCTGTCTGCCCATTTGAAGGGCCGCAGAATTAATTCATGGTATTTTTATTCTTTTCGGGGAATGCATTTTGTTTTCAGATCTGTAACGCAGGCCTAGGCGCGCCACCGTATTTCGCCTACTCTTCTGGTGAAGGGACTTCCGACCTGTGCATGGGGGCTTGCCATGGCGATTCCGGTTCATCATAAATCTTAAACACGCCGCCATATTTGGCGATTCCGGTTGATCATAAACCTTGGATACACCTCTAAATTTCACGATTCCGGTTTATCATATATCTTGAACACACCTCCTTATTTCACGATTCCGGTTCATCATATATATACATATATATATATATGGGCTGCGTAGTATCCCCCCACCCCTATTGTTTTGCTAAAAGCCTGAACTTCAACAAGTTTGCGACCTCCGGTCGAACTTATAAACCCAGCGAAAG